ATTCTGTTAAGACAAGATATATAGGTAAACTGAGTTTGAAGTGTGTCTGAGACTGGGTCAGAAAGGTTAGAGCTAAGGATAAAATCTTGGGAGTGAGCTATGTAGATCTGATTTTTGAAGTGAGTTCTTTATGACGAGGTTTGAAAAGCCATTAAAATAGATCAGAAATGTATTGCTACATGCTTAAAGCCTGGATTGTATGTTTCAATGAGTAAATAAAAATTAATTTTAGGGAATTCTCACTGGGTGGTAAATGTAAGCAGTTTTGTGCTATTGAACTTCAATAGGTTAAAATATTTTACCTGTGATCTTACTTGATTTTTGTATGTGATATAAACCTTTGACTAAAATATCATATCTAATTAGATCTTACATCTTTTTTCTCTTAGTCATTTTAGCTTTCTACTTTATAATTGCTTTAATATGCTAACTCTATATAAAATAATTTAGCCTTTAATAAACTCAATACAATTATTTAAAGTTTAGAAATTTGCTGAAGGGAATTTTGGAAATAAAAATGTTTGCTCCATTATATGGCATGAAAAGTTTGAATGGCTTGAATGGATTTTTTGAACAAATTAAATTTTTTATTGTCTTTAAGCAATGAAGAATGACAAAGAAGTTTTCAGAATATTTATAAATCATCTGTCTTTAAAATAAAGATTAGCATACTTGGTTTTTTGAAAAGCCATGTCATAGTTATTAATTGGAATTTCAAGTTTGAGACATTTTTTAAATATATGAGAAAATGGTAGTATAATTTTAATCTATATAGATTTTATTCAAAACATCTTGACTATTTTTATGTTGCTGTAATATATAGGTATAGGTAATATTTTATCAGGATATAAATGTTTTGTTATCTCTCTTTAAGGTGATTATACTACCAAAAATACATATATAGTCTGCTAGAGCCAGAGTTAATAGATTCTCAGCAATTGATTAGCAAATGAAAAGGAGTGCTCTGAACTCTGTATAGGAAAACAGGAAGTGTCAGTACTCCCATCACCACCCCCCTTCCTTTCTTCCTCCAAACTTTTAGATCTTTGTGTGATGAAGCTCCTTTGGGGATACTCTAGTGACTGTCTCTGAGCGTTGGCTCCAAGCAGCAGAGAAAACTGGAGACTTTTGGTGCCAGCAGCCTGCTCTGGCTACTGCTCTCCTCCCTGTCCTTCCCTTCCTTGGTCATCCATCTCCTAATGTTTTTGTTTTTGTTTTCCATAAGTAGACAGGGTAAGGGGCCCCCTACTCTAAAATATTAATCTCCTGATCTGTCATTCCACCATTCTGATTTCACTTCTTTGGATTTTTAAAAAGATTTTATCTTTGAGTGATTCCCTTTTAAAATGCAAATATCCCTGGGAGAGGTCAGACCTTAGTTCTCAGTTAACGTATTAATTATCAGTTAGCACCATAGTTGGGCTTAGTATTCACTTGGCTGAGAAGAAGGAACCTCTGACTAAAAGTGATAAAACTATTAAAACATTAGCATTTATATTATTATTATTATTATTGTTATTATTGGCAGCTAAGATGTAATGAGGGCCATATTATTTAGTGCCAGGAATTGTTCTAAGTGCTTTGCAAATATAAATTTCTCTAATTCCTTCAACAACCCTATTGATGTTAATATCACTGTTACTTTACAGATAAGAAAACTGAGGTATGTGGAGCATAAACAATTTGTCTAGATCACATAGTAAATACAGCCAAGTGTTAAACTCGGGCATTTGGATTCCAGAGTGTGCTCGCTAACCATTTGCTGTGATACCATTCCGCTGCTGTATTGCATGTCAGAGAGATGGCATTTGATCAATATTTCACCCTTTTCACAATTTTGCATCAAATGGAATCATGCTATTTGATTATAGGCCACTTCCTATTGAACGTCAGGGACCTTGCCATCATCTAAATAGACGTTTTTAATAACAAATGCAATGAAATAGGCAAAGTCCTTGTAACTAAGGGAATTTATTTGCAGAATATAGAAGAGAAGGGATAAAAGAGGCTTGTGTATAATTTAGCACATACATAACATTATCTTTCCTACTTAAAACTTACTATGCAAGTAACATGTGCATTATTTTTGGAAATTTGAAAATAGGGATTAATAAAAAGAAAATAATAATCTGCAGTCCCACTACCCAGAATATGTATATATAAATATTTTTCAAATATATATTATATAAAAAATAAATATTCTTTCTTGTTTTTTTTTTCTTTTGAGCCTTCTTTTCTGAACATTGTACAAAGTGTCAACTCATACTGTTAGCCATGGAAGTGGGGTTTCCCTTTTCCCACTGAGTGCTTAGAGTGGGGTCCTTATGATATCTCAAGAAAAAGAATTTTCTAGGACTCACACAGGAGGATGAGTGATTTTCGTTTGCATAGAATTACATTGTTGGATTTCCAAAGTCCCATTTCCCTTAATCCAGTCCTGGAAGATATGCAGTTGGGATTCGGTAGAGCTAGAAGCAAAGCCAGCACCCAGAGTTTCTGTTCCATGTTGGAATTGGGCCTGGTACAGCATCAAGCTAGTTGTAGTCCATTGTGTGGGGTCCATGTGGACAAATGCAGGAGCATGAGAGTCCCACAGGCCAGAAGTCATCCAGAAGTGCCAGGAGCCAGGAGAGTGAGAGTGATCTCCTGTGTTTAGGTGCACAGGGATGGGGAAAGTTCAGCCCTTGGGCAGTGTAAGGCCCTCAAGTCAATTACCAGCTAACAGCACACACCTCACCAAATTAGCCTGACCAAACATAGCAGACTAATTTTTTTTTAATTCTTCTTTCTTTTTATTGATTTTTAGAGAGAGAGAGAGAGAAACATCAATGAGAGAGAACATCGACTGGCTGCCTCCTGCATGCCCTGCCCCCCACTGGGGATCTGGCCCACAACCTGGGCATGTGCCCTGACCAGAAATTGAACCAGTGACCTCTTGGTGCATGGGTAGATGCTCAACCACTGAGCCACACCAGCTGGGCGCAGGCTAATTTTTACGTTGATAATTTTGTATGGCCCGTGAATGATGTTATAAATACCTAAATGGCCCTTAGCTGAAACGAGGTTTCCACCCCTAGAGGGTACCATTTTGGTGGCAGTAAGGATCAAAGCTTGGAGGCCATTTAGGAGGCTTATTGCAGAAATTCAGGTGAGACTTTATGGCTTGGATCAGGGTAGTAGTAGTAGACGTATTAAGTAGTCATATTCTAGATATATTTTGAAGGTAGAGCCAACCATTTTCCCTGAACAGTTGCTGTGGGGAGAGTGAAAGAGGAGTCCAGAGTGACTCAGTGCCTGGAAATAGTTTAGATAATGGAGCATGTTAATCACTGATGGCTTAATTTTACCATTAGCAACTTATTGTTGAATGTTAGGAGCTTTTTTTTTTTTTTTTTTTTTTTTTAAATCCTCACCCAAGGACATTTTTCCATATTTTGTTCAGATAGAGTGGGAGGGAGAGAGAGAGAAACATCAACGTGAAAGGGACACTTCAAGTGGCTGCCTCCCGCACGACCCAACAACCAGGGTTGGGGACAAACTGCAACTGAGGTACGTGCCCTTACCGGGAACTGAACCCGGGTCTCTCTGGACCTCAGGCCAATGCTCTAACCGCTGGGCCAAACCGGCCAGCGCGAGTGTTAGGAGTTTTAATGAAATACTATCTTTGACCAGATTTTTGGACCTCAGGAAATGTTGAGGGAAGATAAGTAAACTTCAAATGTGTGGTTGAAATATGTACACATGTGAATGTTGGGGCTGGTCAGTCTTAAGTCCATATTCAGGGATACCCTATATCTAAAAGTTAAGAAATGGAGGTGGGGGTGGGGGGGTGTCTCTCTGATTGCCAGGAGGTTTTACAAAAAAAGAGGTTGAAAGAAACCAAAAGTCAAATTTACCCTTGCAATTTTCTTAGGACCTTGGAGGTGGCACCCACAAGTACCATTGAAATTCATATTGTCTTACTGCCCTGAAAAAATTAAAGCCTTGATCATGCTACATACAATGTTCTGAATGTTTTAACTAGGTCCCCACCTGTGACCAGAAATTTGTGTTCAATTTATGTTAAATCAATGATGAAAATGTAGTTGCCAAAATCATATAGGTTTCATTTGCTTTGTTTTATTAGGTTGGCTTTGTGTGTGTGTTGTTTGTTTTTAGAAGCTTTTATTTGCGAGAATCCTTAGGCCTACCAGAATGTAAAGGTTCATTATATTGCCATTTACTTTGTATTTTTCCTTTTTTCTCTTTATTTGCTTACATGTTCTTGCACATTCCTGGGTCTATTCAAACACAAAAATTCTCCCCTTCTGTCTTTCTCTCTCTCTAAGGCAAACTGTCAGGTCTCTCAGATCAGAGTATGTTTTAGAGCCATGAATTAAAGGTCATTATTGATTTACTAATGGAAAGCCAAATTTAAAATGGTAATTAAGTAAAATATTAAATATGATTTATTTAAATAAATAGAGAATATTAACATTTATTTACTATAGCTACCATTTATTGAGCATTTACTGTGTGTCAGATAAATAGTTTATCTCAATTCTTCTACAATTTGAAGTTGGTATGGTTTTTCCTGTTTTACAGGTGAAGTTTGAGAAGTTAAAATATTTGCTCAAGTCAGACATATAATGGTATGTGGCAGAAGTAAAATTCAGACCTAAGTTTTTTCTGTTTCAAAACCCATGCTTTTAACTCTGCGTATACTTTAGTATCTCCACCTATGGCTCTCAGAATATAGATACTAGAGATATATTTTGGTCTTGCCAGCCCTAATTTTAAACTGCTCTCACACTATTTAAAAAGATTTTAAAGGGAAGCAAGGTGGAGAGAAGTATACAGCAAGGGAAATGGGAGAACTGCCTAGTATTATGACAGGCAGCCTAGAAATGGGAGTAAATGAAGCAAATTTATAAAATTATTCTTGGAAAATTACCTTATAAAAAAAGAAAAATATTGGCTTCTTGCTTTTATTTTATTAAAACTGACACTATTCTGCTTAGTTTTCAGATGCTTCAAGAATGAACAGAGACTGATTTGGATTATGTGTTTCTCAGCCAGTCTAAATAGATGTTAACAATGGATAAGTGTAAACACATTGGACAGCTGCAGCTTGCTCAAGACCATTCCATTCTCAGCCCTCAGAAATGGCACTGTGCGGACTGCAATACAAGTGAGTCAATTTGGGCTTGCCTTAGTTGTTCCCATGTTGCCTGTGGAAGATACATTGAAGAACATGCTGTGAAGCACTTTCAAGAAAGCAGTCATCCTGTTGCATTAGAGGTGAATGATATGTATGTTTTTTGTTACCTTTGTGATGATTATGTTCTTAATGATAATGCAACTGGAGACCTGAAGTTACTACGAAGTACATTAAGTGCAATCAAAAGTCAAAATTATCACTGCACCACTCGTAGTGGAAGGATTTTACGATCTGTGGGTATAAGTGATGATTCTTATTTCTTACATGATGGCGCCCAATCTCTGCTTCAAAATGAAGATCAAATGTATACTGCTCTTTGGCACAGGAGAAGGATCCTAATGGGTAGAATTTTTCGAATTTGGTTTGAGCAATCACCCATTGGAAGAAAAAGACAAGAAGAACAATTTCAGGAAAAAACAGAAAAAAGAGAAGTGAAGAAAAGACGGCAAGAATTAAAGTATCAAGTTAAAGCAGAATTGGAAAGTATGCCTCCAAGAAAGAGTCTACGTTTGCAAGGTCTAGCTCTGTCCACAATAGAAATAATTCCTGTTCAAGAACCGCTACAAACCTCAGCATCACCAGCAAAAGATAAAGTAGTATCTACCTCAGAAGACGTAAGATTTAAAAAAGCCAGTGACCCCTCAATTAAACGAAGGCCGATTGTAACTCCTGGTGTAACAGGATTAAGAAATTTAGGGAATACTTGTTATATGAATTCTGTTCTTCAAGTGTTGAGTCATTTACTTATTTTTCGACAGTGTTTTTTAAAACTTGATCTGAACCGATGGCTGGCTGTGACAGCTAATGATAAGACAAAATCATCTTATAAGCATCCACCAGTCACAGATACAGTATATCAAATGAATGAATGCCAAGAAAAAGATACAGACTCTGTCCACTCCAGACATCCAAGTTTATCATCCAGACTGAGTGGTGGAGCATCAAAGAGTAGAAAGATGGAACTTATTCAGCCAAGAGAGTCGAGTTCACAATACATTTCTCTCTGTCATGAATTGCATACTTTGTTCCGAGTCATGTGGTCTGGAAAATGGGCCTTGGTCTCACCATTTGCTATGCTACACTCAGTGTGGAGGCTAATTCCTGCTTTTCGTGGTTATGCCCAACAAGATGCTCAGGAATTTCTTTGTGAACTTTTGGATAAAATACAACATGAACTCGAGACAACTGGTACCATGTTACCAGCTCTCATCCCCTCTTCTCAAAGGAAACTTATCAAACAGGTTTTGAATGTTGTGAATAATATTTTTCATGGACAACTTCTTAGTCAGGTATGGACTTTTTAAAATATCATTTTCATCATGGGGACTTTGTGAAGTGAAGCCTAAAAAATGCATATTCTCTTGTCTATCTAGTGTATTAGAACTAGTACTGCTTACAGGTCAAAATAGATCACTTTCACAAATATATGTATAAAGTCAGCTCACTTATTCACAGTTTCCTTCTTGAATCATTAGTAGTTTTATGTCCATGGTATGAAAGCTTTTTTTGTGGGGAGAGGAAACTAGGAAACAGCTTCTTAAGTTAACCATATTATATTCATTCTCTGAGAGATAGAAAAAAGGAAGATTTAATCCCACAGGGAACAGATTTGAAGATGCTGTTATTCAAGCATCAACTATATTTCATATTGTGTGAAATGATCTGTAAAGCCTATCTTCAATTATTTTCAATGTTTGTTGTCATTAAATCCTGCTGAATTCTTCACTGAAGTTATTCTTCCCCTTTCCAGTTAATATATATCCTATGTAAGTTGTTAGAACTGCCCATATTCTTTGTGGTTCCTATATTTTGATGAGAAGTTTAATGTAGTGATGTTTGCTGTAAGTGGGAGTATGACCTACCTCATTTTTTGTCATATTACTATCTCTTGAAATTATCAGTGGATAGGGCTCCAAAATCTATATATACTTATATACCTCTATATATAAAACACTGTATATAAAAATATACAAGTAGTATTGTACTTGTATCATGGTTAAGATGTTATAGGGAATTGAGAGAAAATCAATTGGTGAAAGATAAGGAAGGAAAAAGGGCAAAGAACTGCAAGTCTAGTTATCTAAATATATTAAATTAAATGCATATAAATATATATCATATATACATAATCTGTATGTATACACACACATAATGTATATCTGAGTAAATGAGGCCAAAGTTTGTTTGTTTTACCTAAATTTAGATTTGACTAATGCTCTTGGAGCTTGTTGAATGCCTAGTAAAGTCCACCAATGCATAATGGTTAGTTTAATGACAGTCTTTTGGAAGGAAAAAATTATAATAATAAAAAATTGGCCCTGGCCAGTTTGGCGCAGTGGTTGGAGTGTTGGCCCGCGGACCAGAGAGTCCCGGGTTCAGTTCCCACTGGGGGAATGTGCCTCAGTGGTAGTTTGTCCCTGGCCCTGGTTGGGGTCATGTGAGTGGCGGCCACTCAATGCATCTCTCTCATATTGATGTTTCTCTCTCTTCCTCCCTCTCTCCCTCCTGCTCAGTCTGAAGATAAATACAAAAATGTCCTCAGGTGAGGATAAAAATAAAATTGCCCCAAAATAATATAAAGCAGATTATTCAGAATTCTGATAGTGCATTTTCAGAAGAAAAGCCTTTTTTATTGGCAATGCCCTCTAGTGAAAGGAGTAAATGTCTTGACAGGAGGATTGTAATCTGAAACTAATATGTGTGTGTGTGTGTGTGTGTGTGTGTGTATTTTTTTTTATCCTTTCGAGGACATTTTTCCATTTTTTATTCAGATAGAGTGGAAGGGAAAGACATGAAGAGAGAGAGAGAAACATCGACGTGAAAGGGACACATCGAGTGGTTGCCACCCGCATAACCCAACCAGGGCCGGGGACAAACTGCAACCGAGGTACGTGCCCTTAGCAGGAACCAAACCCGGGTCTCTGGACCGCAGGCCAACGCTCTAACCGCTGAGCCAAACTGGCCAGGACTGAAACTAATATTTTTATTTGCAGGTTACATGTCTTGCATGTGACAAAAAATCAAATACCATAGAACCTTTTTGGGACTTGTCGCTGGAATTTCCTGAAAGATACCAATGCAGTGGAAAAGATATGGCTTCCCAGCCATGCCTGGTTACTGAAATGCTGGCCAAGTTCACAGAAACAGAAGCTTTAGAAGGAAAAATCTACATGTGTGACCAGTGTAACTGTAAGTAGAGACTATATATTCTCCTTGCTTTTCTAAAGTTAGCAAAGAGAAAATGAAAGGAAGCTGGAAAAAATTCCTTAAGTAGCAGTTATGGAAATAAACTTTCTGCGTTAGTTCATCAAAAGAAACTGGGCTAACTATTTCTGTTTTATAATTGGCATTTGTGAACCTTGTATATGTTTTGCATTATTGATGATATTAAAAAAATTTTTTTGATCCTATAGTCAGTTGTAGAGAGAAAGGATTTATAAAATAAAAATATTAATTTAATATGTGAGGAAGAATAAAGTAGCAAAGGAGAATAATAAAAGGAAAGCATGTTATTTAGTACTTGAAAGAAATGTTTGCTTTAAGTCTTTTTGCTACCTATCAAAATGTGTATGTGTATACATACCTGTATAGAAAATAATATATAGCTGAGCGGCTGCTGTGGGAATTGGCTTCATAAAAATATTTACTATAAAACATCTATCTCTTTTAGTCATTGTTCTAGTTGCTATGGATAGAGGTAACACATTTTTAAGTTGCTCACATAGCTAATAGAAGAAAGAGGTAGACAGTTAAGATCTACTACAATAAACTCTCTAAGAGGTGGGCACAGGCCTCCAACATGAGATGAAATAGCCATTTCAATTAAAGGGAAGCATTATCCTCAAGGGGAATGGTGTATAAAAGGACATCAGATCTGTTGTGTCTTTAATTTTTTTAAAATTTATTTTAGAGAGAGGAAGGGAGAGGGAGAGAGAGAAACATGGATGTGAGAGATAAACATTAATCAATTGCCTCCTGCACACACCTCAACCAGGGGCGACCGAACCTGCAACCTGGGTATGTGCCTTGACGGGGAATTGAACCCGCCATCTTTCAGTTTATAGGATGATGCACCAACTGAGCCACACTAGCCAGGGCTCTGTTGTGTCTTTATGTAGTGTCTTTATCTCCTCTATCAATGTATGTGTGGCATTTTAGTGTCTACACTATATAGTTTCAGGAATTATCCCTAATTGTCAGGTCTGAAAAAATGGTTCTAGGGCTTTTAGATACTAAACTTCTATGGTAATATAAAGGAAACATTGGATGTTCTAACACTGAAGAAATGTCACATCAATTGGTGATTTTATAAAACAACCCACACTAGCATTGTTTTCTGATTGCTGTCTAAAATGAACTATTACAAGGAACTTAAGATATATATGGTTAGGAAAAAAATAAGTATCAAGTTTGTATGGTGAAGTGTGGTTTTTTTTTCTTAGACATAAATGTGAGTGGTCCTAGATCTGCTTTCATCACTAAATCTAGGAGTAGAATGCTATTTTGAATGAATGCAAAATATGGTTTTATAACACATTTGTGTGTGTCTGCTGGATCTACCAAATAAAGGCTTAAAAGAGTTGCTTTAATACATAAAGACAAATGATTAAAATTTTAAGTCAGGGCCCTGGCCGGTTTGGCTCAGCGGTTAGAGTGTCGGCCTGCGGTCCTGAGAGACCCGGGTTCGGTTCCCGCTAAGGGCACGTACCTCGGTTGCAGTTTGTCCCCGGCCCTGGTAGGTTGTGCGGGTGGCAGCCACTCGATGTGTTCCTTTCACATCGATGTTTCTCTCTCTCTCTCTCTGTTCCTCTCTCTCCCTCCCACTCTACCTGAGCAAAAAAATGGAAAAATGTCCTCGGGTGAGGATAAAAAAAAAAAAAAATTTAAGTCAGGGAGTTGACATCCCTTGTCTAGCTCCACTTGGATCATGTGTTCTGGGAGATGATCCACAGGGAGGTCCAGGACATCCAGCAGCAGCTGGATGATACCTGGATCTCAGGGACATAGACCTTGAAGGAAAGGCTTCTGGTGGCAGGTGGAGATGGCCAAGAGGACAGTTTCATGGTAGACTGATTCTACCTCCTAAGGAATAGCAGATGTTGCTATGGCTGGAGTCAGAGCTGGTATACACGTTGCAGGCAGCTCCTGGACATCAAGAGCAATCTATGCCCTGGCTGGTTTTGCTTAGCGGTTACAGCGTTGGTCCACGGACCAGAGAGACCTGGGTTTGGTTCCTGCTAAGGGCATGTACCTCGGTTGCAGTTTGTTCCTGGCCCCCATTGGGGTCATGTGGGTGGCAACCACTAGATGTGTCTCTCTCACATCAATGTTTCTCTCTCACCCTCTCCCACCCCCCCATCTGAAGATAAATGCAAAAATGTCCTTGGGTGAGGATTAAAAAAAAAGAGCAATCTTTGGTAGCTAAATGCCCAGCCAGAGGCTATAGGACACAATCCATAGATGGACCTCTAGAGAAGCAAGGGGGACAACAAAAAGAATCCTAAGTCCCACTTGTCTGTGATCTGGTGCTAAAATAGCAAAAGCAAGAAACTGAGGAAGGCCTCAGTCACAGAGCTAATAAAAGACCACCTTCTCAGGGGTGGATCCCCAGGAAATGGGGAGGGGTGTTTTAGGCAGTAAGGACCCATGGGATGGATGTATCTTGATTAACCTCAATAAATGAACTGACCATGAAACTTTAAAGTAAGAGTTTGAGAAGAGGAAGTACAGTGGGACCTCAGTTCTCAAACTTAATTTGATCCAGAACACTGTTTTAGAAGCAGTTTGTCTGAAAACAGAATTATTTTTTTCCCATTAGAAATGTAAATTGAAGTCATTCCTTCCAGACCCCCAAATGATTCCTTGTTTTAACCTTTCCTATATATGGTACATGTCTAATGTACATATTTAATCTCTAAACAAGCACTTTTTTCTTAAATTTACCAAACCACCCCCTACTAGCCTAAATGAACCACTTTCAGCACTCCTTCCAGGGTGTCTTTCAGGAGGTCAGGATATACGTCATCATCTTCACTTTTTCACCCTGAAATGCTGTCACCAGCTAACTGCTTTTTATCCAAATCAACAACAGTTTTTCTACCTCTTCAGTTGCCTGTTTCTTTCACAACAATAGTAACATTAGCACTCTTGATGGCCTTTTTACGTTTTAAAATTGTGCTAATGGTCCATTTTGCCAGCAACAAAAGCAAACACACACACACAAATATTCACAGCACAGTTTCCTGAGATGTTAACTAAGCAGGGTTTAGCTGTAAACAGACTCATACTGGTGCATCCTTTCCTTTGTTTGTCGCCTGAGAGACGCTTTCTATTATGCTAATATATCAGCACCAAAGGGTTGTCAAGTCCAGAACCAAAGTTAACCCAGACATTTTTTTCTGTGAACAACTTGGTTGAGACCCAAGAAATGTTCAAGACCTGAGGTTTGACCTTATATTAAAGTATGTTTAGGGAGAGTTTCAACTTTTCCTATTTGGCAGAGCCAAATCCATTAAAAACTATTATAGCACTGCATCATTTAGTTGCCTTATTTATAAGATTATATTAAGTCATTTACTTAATTGTTTACATATCTGTCCACCTTGACAAGCTCATAAGGTTTTTTTTAATTATTATATGTTTCTTTGAGGCAAGGCCATGTCTGTCTCTAGCACAGTACAATGTCTGTAACACAGGTTTAAGTGATAATGCATGTGTGGATTATATTAAAAGTTTACTCAGCTTTCCCTTATTTCCTTAAATTTTTATTCTCTTTGATATCACAGCAAAGCGTAGAAGGTTTTCCTCAAAACCAGTTGTACTCACCGAAGCCCAAAAGCAGCTTATGATTTGCCACCTACCTCAAATTCTCAGACTACATCTCAAACGATTCAGGTTAGTAGTAGTAGTAGTAGTAGTAGCAGTTGCCTACCAACTATACTTATAGTGCTTCAGAACTTAACACATGATGAATTAAATTTTAATACTGTATACCTGACTAGTAGATAACTTACAACTACTTCTGTCTTTTATTTTAAGGGAAAAATAATTCTGTCATTGTCTTTAACCTTGATCAGTGGACACCATATTCAGTAACTAACCTGATTAGCTTCCTTTGTAGAGTGCACTGTTGATCACATTTTGGTTGGCTAAGTAATACTATTCTCCTTGTACTGTTTAATATTCAGCACACTTTAGATGTAAATTTTAAAAAATCTGTAACTTACAGTATTTGACTCAGTTGCTTCATTCTTGGAAAACATTTGAACAAAGGAACAACAGTTCAATTCATAGCAATTAAAAAAAAACCTCTAGTCTTCAGAAATATATTTAGTCAGGTGAGTAAGTGGCAAATCTGTTGGTTAATCAAGGCTTTCATACCTTGCAATAACCATGTTAACCTGAGAAGTGGACTGTTCTGTTAAGGAATGAGAAGTTACTTTATGTGCTGTGATTTGAAAACTATTGATACAATGGTTTATTTTTTTAAAAGTAATATATGTTTTCTAAAAAAATTTTAGCCCTGGCTGGTTTTGCTCAGTGGTTAGAGCATCCGTCCGTGGACCAGAGAGTCCCGGGTTCGGTTTCCGGTAAGGGCACATACCTCGGTTGCAGTTTGTCCCTTTGGGGTCATGTGGATGGCAGCCACTCGATGTGTCTCTCTCATATCTATGTTTCTCTCTCTCTCTCTCTCTCTTCGCCCCTCTCTCCCTCCCATTCTATCTGAAGATAAATGCAAAAATGTCCTCGGGTGAGGATTAAAAAAAAAATTTTAGCCCTGGCCGGTTTGGCTCAGCGGTTAGAGCGTCAGCCTGCGGTCCAGAGAGACCCAGGTTCGGTTCCTGCTAAGGGCACGTACCTCGGTTGCAGTTTGTCCCTGGCCCTGGTTGGTGGTGCGGGTGGCAGCCACTCGATGTGTCCCTTTCACGTCGATGTCTCTCTCTCTCTCTTCCTCTCTCTCCCTCCCACTCTGCCTGAACAAAAAATGGAAAAATGTCCTCGGGTGAGGATAAAAAAAAAAAGATAAAAGAAAAAATTTAGATATCACAGAAGGTACAATAAAAGCCCAAAATAAAATTACCATTCTTTTCAGTCCCACGTCCCAGAGATAATCACTGTTAACTTGACTCAGTTATTTCAGTCAGAAAACATCATGTGAGTGCTTTTTTTTTTTTAATCCTCATTTGAGGTTTAAAAAATCTCATTTGAGGTTTGTTTTCTATTTATCTTCAGATAGAGTGGGAGGGAGAGAAACATCGACATGAGAGGGACACATTGACTGGTTGCCTTCTGCACAACTTCCACCAGGGCCGGAGATGAACTGCAACCAAGGTACGTGCCCTTGACCAGAATCGAGCTCGAGACCCATTGGTCCACGAGCCAGTGCTCTACCACTGAGCCAAACCAGCCAGGGCTGTGAGTGCTTTTTAATTCAAGATGTTCTGTATTCTTTTAGGAATATAAAGTAAGATCCTTTTCACAAGATTATAGTAAGGCATGCACAGAAATAATGGTGAAGTAGAAATACTGAGTATCATAAACTATAAACAAACTCATTAATCTGAGTCTTGGAGGAAGGAGTTCGCCGATGTATAAATATTCCCAAAGCCTCTTTAATAACATAGGGGATTTATATCATTCAAGTCACAATTTATATGTCATCTCTTTAGAGGACTTCTCTGACCATCCTATTTAAAAGTAGCACCACCCAAACCTTCAGTATCACATTACCCTATTTTGCTTAATGTCAAAAACCACTGTCTGCAATTAGTAGCTTGCTTGCTTGCTTCTCTCCCCTTGCCAGTGGAACAAGCTCTGTACATAGTAGTTGCCCGAAAATATTTATTAAGTGAATAAATATGGGGTATACAGAAGGAGGAGCAACATGAACGAAGGTATGGAGGAAGGAACAGGAAAGGGTATACAACAAAGATTTAGTGAAGAGTCTTGTGAGACCTGCCATTGTGTATAAAATCAAGTAGAATGAAAACAGGAAGATTACTTAGGAGGTTAGTCTGTATTCTTCATGTAACAAGGGTCAGGGAGCATTGAAAGGTGAGAACATATTTGAGTTTCTATAAAGATAGAATTGAAAGGATTTTTGTTACTTAAATTAATACTTAATTGGCTACTATAAACTGTTGAAGAACCTCCTGATCTTCATAATTGCTATTTAATCTGGCATTTGAAGGTTACCTTAATATATATAAATCTATTTGACTTATTTCCTTCCATCTTCTGCCCAAAACATTTTTGATCCTTCATGCCTTGATTTATCTCTGATTCAGAGACGTTTACACTGCCTTTACCACCACATTTATCTTTCCCCTTAATCTGTTAAAAAAGTACTATTATATTTGCCAGTGTATAAAATATATAGGGTAAATAAAAGACAAAAGAGAGAATGGGATTGGGGAGGGGCACATGGGAGCTCTTCCAAGAAGCATAAGAAAAGGATTATTTTTAATAGCTTTGAAGTTCCCTGTGTGTGCCTCTCAGTCCTGTTCCCTTTCCCTCTCTTCAGGAATAAACCATTATGGATTTGGGGTAAATTGTTATTTTGTTTTGTTTTACTGTGTTTCAGCAGAAAAAACAAGATGCCCGGTTTATCAATAGGAATGAATATTTTCTATTTAGTTTACAAGTGTTTATTTAGCATAGTTAAGTAATATAAGGTTTGAATTTTATGGTAAAGTAAAAGAGAGAAAGTGAGAATGTTAAGTAGGTCCCATTATTTTGTTTTGCTCTTTCATCTTTATTAAAGTTAAAGGTGCACTGGATACAGGATCTTTTGTATAGTTCATGGGGAAGGAGTGGGCTGACTCCAGCAGATAATGTAATATGCAAGACTCACTTTTAGCTCCATACTATTTTAACATTGCACTGAGAAGCATCTTCACATTGTTTCCTTCATAAACCTGTCTATATTCCTTTTTTCCTTCTCCATTTGCTGCTGTTTGTTTTAACCTCATGTTTTATTTAGTACTTTAAAGTGTTTTGTCTCTGTTCACCACCACCCTACATGGATTATAATCTCTTGGAAGAACTATATATTACATTTCCCCTCATAATCCTAGCTCATGCTATGTATGTGACAAAAACATTGCTTGCCATGCTTAGATAAAGTACTGGGAAGCATGACCACATTGACTATCTCTAGTACCTGGTTATTTTTCCTTGATTTTGTTAATACTTTTACCTGGTTTGTTCACAGATGGTCAGGACGTAATAACCGGGAGAAGATTGGTGTTCATGTTGGCTTTAAAGAAATCTTAAATATGGAGCCCTATTGCTGCAGGGAGTCCGTGAAATCCCTCAGACCTGAATCTTTTATCTATGACTTATCTGCTGTAGTAATGCACCATGGGAAAGGATTTGGCTCAGGACACTACACTGCCTACTGCTATAATTCTGAAGGAGGTATAGATGGGGGAAAGTGTTCTATCTTGGGTTAGACTTGGCAGCTGGAGTTCAGGCTCTAGCGATTTCTAATTGGCCACTAAATCATCTTAAGCAAAGCCACTTGACCTCTTTTAAGAAGAATGTTTCTGCATCATTGCTCATAGAAAATACTGAGGGTCTGTGCAGAAAATGGGGTATTTTCTGCGGGATTGCAGTAGTTTTGATGCAGGGATAGGATAATAAGGATGGTTTTATTAATTATATGCCAGAAAGAGTGTGTAATCTTTTCTTCTTTTTTTTTTTATCCTCACCCGAGGACATTTTTCCATTTTTTGTACAGATAGAGTGGAAGGGAGAGAGAAGAAGGGAGAGAGAGAGAGAAATATCGACGCAAAGGGACACATCGAGTGGCTGCCACCCGCACGACCAACCAGGGCCGGGGACATACTGCAACTGAGGTACGCGCCCTTAGCGGGAACCGAACCCGGGTCTCTCCGGACCGCAGGCCGACGCTCTAACCGCTGAGCCAAACTGGCCAGGGCTGTAATCTTTTCTTAAAGGCACATTTCCAATAGCAGATCCTATGCTTACTGGTGTCATTCAGTTAAATTTGTTAAAGAACAGACCATCTAATTAATGAACTGGTGGATCACAGACATTTGAAACAAACGAGTTCGGGTTTTAACATATAAAAACTCATTTGAATTTACTACATCCATGGACCCTTCATAGGTGGCAAAAGTGATTGGATTTAGGTTTCACATTTCCCCTTTCCCTACCAACTGTTAAAGAATGAGCCTCCCCCTCATGCCCATTTCTCCTCTGCCTTCTCCCAACATACACACACACATGCACGCGCGCACACACACACACACACACGCACACACACACACAAAGACGTGTGGACAAAAAGCCATTAATCCAGCAAGGTAATTTAACACTTAAGTACCAAGAGTTAGTTGTGCACTATTTGCTTTATAGTATGATAGGCAGCAAAATCATCAACTGGTAAGATTTTACCAGGAATTAAAGATTGTGTCAAGTGAACTAATCAGTAACTTCAAGCTACTTTTAGGATAAAGAGAGATAATTCCAGAGTAACATACTGCCTAAGCTCTGTTTCTCATTAAAAGAAGTGAATTGGCTAGATAATTATTTTCTCTTCAAAAATAGCTTAACCTAGGTGACATCAATAGATGAATAAAGATGTACATAAATACAATGGAATATTATACAGCCATAATAAGGAATGAAATCTTGCCATTTGTGACAACATGGATGTCTAGGGTATTATGTTAAGTGAAATAAGTCAGACAAAGAAAGACAAATACCATATGATTTCACTTATACCTATATGAGATCTAAAAAAAAACAGGAACAGACAAAACAAATTCAGATACAGAGAACAAATTGATGGCTCCATGATAGGAGGCAGTTAAGGGGAGATGGGTGAAAAAGATGTGATTATGAAGTACAAATTGCCAGTTACACAAAGAGTCATAGGGATATAAAGTACAGCATAGAGAATATAGTCATATAATCACATATACTGTAATAACTATGTATGGTGACATATGGGTACTAGCGTATCACTGCAAGGTATATAAATGTCTAGTCACTATGTTGTACTTCTGAAACTAATATAATATTGTATGTCAACTATAATTGAAAATGAAATTTTAAATAACTTGAACTCTCACTGAAACTAATGCCTCTAAATCCGTTTTTATACTTGAAATTTCTAAAGTTCCTTTATAAACATTAAGGTGTATTTCTGTGCTTCGCTCTAGGGTTCTGGGTACACTGCAATGATTCCAAGCTAAGCATGTGCACTATGGACGAAGTATGCAAGGCCCAAGCTTATATCTTGTTTTATACTCAGCGAGTTACTGAGAATGGACATTCTAAACTCTTGCCTCCAGAACTCCTGTCTGGTATCCTACCTCCTAATGAAGAAGCTGATACCTCTAATGAAAAGTTTAGTTGATTCAAAGACAATGGGGCTTCTTGTGATTTGTATATATATTTTCTCAAAGGGGTTACTTACAAGTTTGAGCTTCATTTTTATTTTTTACTTATGAATCATTGTACACTATGTTTATATATTTTGTTATCTATCTACAAGTCTTTTTACAGACACAAAGCATAAATACATGTATATATCAATGATAGTAGGTAACTAAATTGTTTTCAAGTACTTGTGAGTTTTAAGCTTTTAGTATTTACCTTTTATATTTTGTTTTAATTGGCTCAGATCATGAATTTGTGCAATTTTTTACTGAAGTTCGGATGACATCATTTTATACATTTATCTTTTGTAGTTATTTTCTATACAAATTCTTATTCAATGGAAAATTATACTTTCTTCACCAATAGTCTTACCCCCAAAAAGTCCTTTCTTTCAGGCTATTTGTATTTTGAAGTTACCTTTGTCCCTTGAAGAAAGTTAAACCATTACCTTCAAAGAGAAAAAATTCTCAATTACACTCATTGACATTCCTGAAGCTTTGTGTTAACAGGGCTCAGAAGGCATTACTGTCATTAATGGAACTTCATTTTTTCAAAAATTTATTTTTAATATTGTTCTTCATTTGGCATAGTCAAACTATACAAATGAAAATGACAGCTTTATAAATAGTATGCTTAAATGACTTCAGCACAATGGGCATGAAAACAGTGCTGGTTAGGACTTACGATGATTTGTCTGGCAACAAACTGGTTTGTCCTGATTCTAATAAAGAATTCATATCAAAAACTTGAATTTACCAAACCATATGTTATACAAGAACTTGGATATGAGTTCATTTTATGTCTAAACATTAAATCTCTTAAAGCTCTGTACCACATATATTGAGATTCTTAAAGGAATAAAAAAATTAAGTCTTGAAGAGATAAATGTTCAAAACTGGCAGCTGGGCAATGTGCATCTCATTTTTCTAAACTAAAGCCTAGATACTCTTCCTAGAATTATGTGAATACTAGAAGCCTCTCAGATATTCAAACATTGGGCTCTGACATTTAAAAAAAAATAATCTTGCATTTTATTAAAAATAAGGTAGGACTCTTTGTTCTTCCCTAATCTCACTAGATCTCTTTTCAAATCCTACTGCTGCTAGCTTTATTTCAGAAAGAGAGTCCACTAATACATGTTGATCCGCTTTGTAAGATCTTAGCTGTGTTAACCACTAGATCTTTTTTTTTTTAAATGGGTTTGCTTGCTGGTTGAATTCTTAATGAAAGATAGTATCTGTTAAGTGCTATTCTCCACTAGTGATCATCTGTAAGTATAAACCGGAGAAGGAGAACAACTCATCTGGACAGCCGTTGTGAAGTGCAGTGAGAATTTATCACTGAAGACAAATCACTTATGCCAAAAATACAACTCATGTGTTAAATGACTAAGGTTTAAAATCATTCTCTTATTAAATACCTATGCAAGTTGCTACCTCAACTATTAATATAATTATACCTCATTAAAGATTTATGTGGTCAAGATACCTGAGTATAGTCTTTTTTTTTAATCCTCACCTGAGGACATTTTTTTTGTTTTTGTTTTGTTCAGTTAGAGTGAGAGGGAGAGACAGACAGAGAGAGAAACATCGACATGAAAGAGACACATCGAGTGGCTGCCACCCGCACGACCCAACTAGGGCCGAGGACAAACTGCAACCGAGGTACATGCCCTTAGCGGGAACCGAACCCGGGTCTCTCTGGACCGCAGGCTGACGCTCTAACCGCTGAGCCAAACCGGCCAGGGCGAGTATAGTCTTTTTTAATTAAAAAAAAAAAATATGTTTTTGATTTTTTTTAGAGGAAGAAGAGATAGAAACACCGATGTGAGTGAGATACATCAACCAGCTGCCTCCTGCATGCCCCTATTGGGGATCGAGCATGAAACCCAGGCACATGCCAGGACCATGAGTCTAACCCATGACCTCCTGGTCCATGGTTTAATGCTGAACCACTGAGCCACATCACCTGGGCTAGTCTTTTTTAATATCAAGTATTACTTTATACTTAGGTTAACTGCTATACATTTGAACACCTAATTTTTAGTGGGGTATTTTAAAACTCTGGAAGCTATGTTATAGTTAGTTACTTATTTCAATGTGATATTAGAAATAAAGTGGCTTAGCCCTTTTTAACCCCTTAAAACTAAAACTTATGGAGGAGGCTATATGTGGGAGGTCAAGGGAGTATATGGTAACTCTATTTTTGCTAAATTTGGTTACTAACCTAAATTGGATCTAAAAAAAAGACAAGTCTATTGAAGTGAAACTAAAACCTAGACAATGCACAGAAATTTAGATTTCTTACCTCACTGTACATCTCAACATGGATGGACTTCTACATTCTGCTAAATTGATCTAACAAAAAACAACGTGTTTCGGTTGTAAAATAATTTACTAAAGGCACTATTGTTAAACATTCAAACTAATAACTGGTTACCAATAAGGTACATCATTATAAACATGACAAAATGATTTCAAGAGATACATGGCTAGTAGATAAACAATACAGTTTTAAGTGACAGCTTTCCTATGTACAAGATCATATCCCTTCCAGCCATTTCAGGGGCATACAAGTGATGCCATTGTTCCCAACAGTTATCTGGGAAGGGAGCTTGGATCTCATAAATGGTTTGAGATCACTACTGCTAAAGAGGTCTCACAAAGCTCCAAAATTCTTGACTCAAAGGGTCAATTCTGAAATTTCTGGGCTTGGAAATCAGGATACTTTATACCTCCCAGTAAAGCACATCAAAATGGTAGGGACTCAAAACTCCACAAGAGCTAGCTAGCTGGAGCAAAAGCCCTGTAACATATCCAAGCATGAACTGGTGAGCTCTGCCACTAGCACATCACAGAAAATGGAGAACTTATTTCAAGGTTGCTACTGAACATTAGCACCATAGTAAACATGGCTCATATAGCTAAACTAGATTGCTTATCCCATAAGATAACATTCATTTATAGCGCAAATGCTGAAAGCGGCCTTTTAATGTATAATAATGATCTAAGTACAGAAGTTAGGTTTCTCTTCCTATGAGAAAAACATTAAAACAAAATACAAAACAGCATCCCAGAGGCAATCATGTTAATGTTCTAAACATACAAGTTAAGGCTTTACCTTAGTACATTAACCACTTTGAAATTTTGTTGAAAACAGTCCCAAAAAACCGTTTACATAGAATTCAAGCAATTTGCTCAAGAATCAGTAGTGGGGCTCAGTTCAAGTATTATGCATCTTACAAATTCAACTTATGCACTTAGCTGCTATGAGTCACTATAACCCCACTTCATAAAACCACCCATGATGTTATAAATCCAAACCAGTTGAGGGGCAGAGTGCTAAAGAATTTGATTCACTAATGAAAAAGCCTAATATTTCAATTTAATTTTTCTAACTAGAACAAGACCCTATCATGGAAATTTTCCCATTTTTGTGGTTTTAAATGCCTTTCGGTTTACTGAGCATGGTGAATGTATTTCCTGACAAATACACCACTGGACAAAGGATCTAAATGTTGAGATTAAGTCAAGGTTTCAAGTTGGTATAACATTCCTACTGAGTCATATTTCAAATAGTAGATCTTTCCAATGTCAGGGAAAAAATGAAAGACAAGGACTATACGGTCCTAAAAAGAAAGGCAAAATATTCCTAAAGCTGTATATTAATTTATGAAGCTTCTACTCTATACATGTATAGATCTTGTTTAGCCACTATGTCAGAAAAGAAGTTTCAGTGTAGAAGTCTACAATCCAGATGCAAGGCTCTACATTTCCCTACATTAAATTTAGCTATTTCCTGTGCAAAATTATAACCACAGACATTGAAATGTAGCTCTCAGATCTGAAAATGTCTTTATTTTTTTAGAAAATGGATTCCAGGAAGGTTAAAAAGCAATACCAGAAGGTAGAGGTGCAGAAATGGATGTAATCATTCAAAGCATTCAAATAAGAATATGGCAATATAAATATTTGAAAAGCATCTCCTTAGGTGTTCAAAACAAAATGTTTAAGTCATTCCTAACTAATTTGAACTTTATAGCATTTTTTAGAGAGGAGAAAAACAACATTTGGAAGTCCCGAAAGCTTTTTCCGTGGTTAATTACATTAGATGGTTTGCTTTTGATCAAATTCCTCCCTTTTTCAACATGAATAAAAGTATTATATAGGTCCACTGTTAAACAGACAACATGTTGCAAATTAATTCTGGTAAAATGTATTCCAACAAAGCTTAGAAAATAAAAGAGGTTATGGTGGCTTTGGACTAAGTTTAATAGTCATCTCCTCTGCTGACAACTTCTTTACATGTTGGACGCAATAGTATGGTATGTTCAAACTGTGCTGTATATGATCCCTTAATGTCACATAATGGTGGATATGGATCTACAATGCCCAAGTCACACAGATTCTTCAGAGCCATCAAGTATTTACTTTCTCCCAAGCGATCCAGCCATCTCCGGCAGAAGGCAAGCGTGCCAAAGTTTTCATTGATGACATTTAACAAGTGTTTTGTTCTTGGAAGCCTAAGAGAAGAAAATCCAAGATTAATAAGTTAATCCAATACTGTCCTGGTTGGTGTGGCTCAGTTGAGTATCGTCCTATGCACCTCAAGGTCATTGATTTGATTCCTGATCAGGGCACATGCCCAGGTTGTGGGTTTGATCCCCAGTAGGGGGGTATATATGTATGGGAGGCAACAATTGATGTTCCTTTCTCACAGCAATGTTTCTCTCTCTCCCTCCCCTCTAACTCTAAAACCAATAAAAACTTAAAAAAAAAAAACAACACCACCAAAACTCACTTCCCCATTAAGAAAAACTCAAACAGTAGCTGTAGTAATTAAAGTTAGAAAACTTTTTTTGTTGCCTATTTCAACATTTAAAAGCCAGAATGTATAACAGCCCATACCTAATTATAGATGGCAGGTGAATAGGAAGCCAGCTGAAGACTATTTTACCATGTTTGTGTCTATGCATGTGTAAAATTCCCAGTACAGACCCACCAACGGTATTATGGTGAGAATGTCTTTTTTTGTGCATCACGCGAAGATATGCACATAAAGAAGATGTAAACTTATCTTTCAACCACCTACCCAAAAAGTTTTTTTTAAACATTTTTTCCTCCCTTTATTGATTTTATAGAAATAGGAAGGGAGAGACAGAAACATCGATGAGAGAGAATATCAATTGCCTACCTCCTGCATGCCCCTCACTGGGAATTTGGCCCACAACCTGGGCATGTGCCCTGACCGGAAATCAAACTGGCGACCTCTTGGTGCTTCAATCACTGAGCCACACCGGGCAGGCCCCAAAAAGATTTTTTTTTAAAGTAAATAAAAATATAAAATTTACCA